CCTTTATCATAAAACAAACTCTTATTTGACCAAGATTAGGTCAAAACCAGATGAACATCAATCCATACCACACACTCATTTGACTTGATATCCTCAAATGAATCTTGGACTTAGGCAACAAGAAAAATGAAAGTAACTTCATATTTTTTTTATTTTTGAATAATGGTTAGTAGATGGAAACACAGATGAAGGTAATATACAGGTAGGACACATTTGAGATATGACACTTCAATGGTAGCCTTGAAGGCGTCTTAAATTGTGAGAGAGGGGTTAGACAAAGGACCATTTATCTCCTCATATCTTTTGTATTGTAAAAGAAGTCCTTAGCAGAAGAAAAAATTTGTGATTTTTTTCTTTATAAATTATCCTAAGGCTACCTAAGTGTGTGTGAGAGAGAGAGAATATACATATATATATATATATATATATATATATATATATATATATATATATATATATATATATATATATATATATATATATATATATATATATATATATATATATATATATATATATATATATATATATATATATATATATATATATATATATATATATATATATATATATATATATATATATATTCATAAAACTATTTTCAAATAGCTATTAATTAAATTTATGTAAATTGATTGTTTAGAATATGTCACACTTTATAAAAATAAACATATTCTAAACCATAAATTTGCATAAAATTAATTAATATCTATTTGCGGCCAAGATAATACATCTCATGTCTATTTCATCAAAAAATTAGGTGGTTGACATTTTCACCAAAACACTCCATCTTAGACTCTATAGCTTTGGTTTTCGTACTTGAAATACTCAATATCCATTATAGTTTGCGGGGGGGTTGTAAAGTTATATTGTTATTTTTTAGGGCATTTCTTAAGGCACCACGTGAAAATACAAAAATGTCTCAATAGTCTGGAGATGAATCTTCAGATGCATCTCAAACACACGCACACAGACACACACACACACACACACAAGGCCAATTATGAGTCACGCCTTAGGAGTGTGGCTTTTTTAGATTCGGAGATGCATCTCGATAACCTGTCTATAGATGCATCTCCGTAGCATACTGAAACAAAAACAGAAGTAGAAAACCAGAAAGTTGTATTTTGACAAAATAAAATTACCATTCATAACATGAAATCAACATTACATAGTTGATGTTAACATAAAATCAAACATTACATTTCAATATCCAAGTGACGCTTCAACATCTTCACAATATCTTTGACCAATCTTGAAATCTTTGCTTCCACCTCGATTGTAAATTTTGTTTTGAAACGGAAAAATGTATTCCACATAGCCCTTACATTTGCATCTGTCTTGAGCTCATAGTTGTTGAACTCAATCTCGCATTCGTTGTTAATTGACGGTGAACGGTACTCGAGCTTCACAATTTTTTTATTATCTCCGTAAGGTATGAGATTCTGCACTTCGTATTACAAATCTGCAAAAGGGGTGTACTAGTTGATCTTAAATTCTCGCCTGGGTGTCGTACTAGAAAAGGAGACATTTGCGACATACCAGATGATGTTCATTTGCGACATACCAGATGATGTTCATATGCGACATTTTTTATTTGTATGAGACATGGTACAAGTGCATACATTTATAGTAGTTGTAGACAAATGTGTACCTAAAAAATTCTATCTTGTATCAGTGGAGATTTTGAAGATGCATCTCTGGTATATTCTTTTACTCCAAATATGCATCTCTGGAGTGTCCACTCAGCTACTCAAAGATCACTATATTTGTTGAAAATACTCTGAGATGACACTCATTTGGTGAGTCATGACGTGGTGCAATGGTGCGTCCGAAGATTCATCTCCAAAATTTGAGGGGCATTTTGGATTTTCCATAGGGTATTTTTCCACCTCATATGGTGGGATAAGAAATTCCCATTTTTTATTGGATTTCCTTGTGTTTGGTTTTTTCCGTTTTGATCCAATAGGTTAGAGCCCTTTTTTCTCGGGAATTTTTTAATGCACCCTATGTATTACTATGACACCACGTGAAAATACAAAAATGTCCCCCAGATTTTGAAGATGTGTCTCCAAAATCACCCTAAGTAAATAGAATTTTGACTTAATGTAAAAAAAAACTACGAAGATGCAACTTCATAAATATTACGGAGATGCATCTTTGTACGCTATTGGTTCTAAAATACACCATAACTCCTACTCCTTCCTCACTTTTATAAAAACAACTCTAAATATTTCTAAAACTCTCTCAACTCACATTCTCTCAAAATTAATCAACCAAGTTCAGAACTTCTTCCATCAACATCAAGTACATCAAAGAAATCATTCAACACTGAAGTATACCCACAATTCGTAAGTGTTTTATTTTTGTAAAAAATTTTGAGTTTATTAGGTTAAAAAATAGATAGTTTTTGCATGATTGATAGTTTATACATAATGAAAAACGTGTTTAATGGTTAAAAATAATGATCAATGCATTATTTTTGGGGGTTTGGTGGTCATCACTACCACCATTGACATAGCTGAAAGTTGCAGGAAATTCTGAAGATGCATCTCCCAAAATTTTCAACGTTTATATTCCCAGGAACTAGAGATGCATCTTTGTAATTTATGTGTATTTTTTTATTAATTTTTTTGCTTTTCTTGGTTGTATGGTTGCTTGTAATAATTGTGTGACACTTGTCTGGTTTACTTACGAGCATTATGGCTGATATAGACGACAAACTGAGGCACATGAGGATTACACAACATGCATCCGTCTGGAGGGAAAAGAGACAGGTTTCAGAGGCTCTTGTTCCCTTTAGCTCAGTTCATGCGGAGGCATCAACTTTTGGGGCTATATATCTTCATATTCTTCTTCCCGAAGGAGACTGGTGTCACCTAGTGACGTACCACTGCCTCCATCTTCTTGTAGGCGACAGGTTTCACCTATTAAGGCGTCAGAGGTATCCGAGATACCCAAGGTACCTGAGGCACCGGTGTCACCCCAAGCATCGGAGGGACCTCATGCTGATGAGGCTAATGCGCCAGTGTCACCTTAGGTATTTGGAGGAGACCCTCTAGAGTTTTCATTGCTGCCACTTTTACCTGGATCATACTACCAAACATATTTGGGACAAAGAGGTAAAATTGGTTGGATACATTCTTTTTAAATTACAATTTTTTGGCATTGATTTATTTTTTCGCATAACTTTGATTCATTGAAATTCATTAACCATGGGTAGAAGATTGCATAAGCCTAATGAAGAGTGGTTTCGGGTTGCTTTGTCTCTATATGGAATGAAGGACTTATGTAAGATCGGGTATGTTACGGTGAACCACAAGATGTTTAATGCATTTGTGGAGAGATGACACACTGAGACCTCATCATTTCATCTACCACTTCGTGAGATGTCGATCACACTCCACAATGTGTCGTGTTTGTTGCATCTTCTGATTAGGGAGAAACTCTTAGACCATGGCATAATTAGAAAAGATGAAGCACTCGAGTTGATGATAGGCTATTTGTGAGCTGACTCAGAGGCTGTCTTGAGAGAGATGGAAAAAAACATAAGGGCTCATGCTAAGTTGGAATTCCTGAAAAAAGGTATATACATATGAGCTCCTTAGAGCAGAGTAAGCTAAGGTGATAGTAATAAGGTGGGGCTGCATATAGCGTATGCTTTGCGATCATACATGTTATGTTCGGTTGGCACTGTCATTTTTGTGGACAAGAGTGTCACTTATGTGGATGTTTTCTACTTGTGGTACTTAGAAGACTTTGAGCGGATCCATGAGTACAATTCGGGGGTCGCTTGTTTGATTTTCTTGTACTTTAAGTTATTTAAGAGTTGTAGGCAGAAGACGAAACAGGTCACAGACAGCATCACAGTTTTGACGATAATGTTTATTGGTCTTTTAGTGTGTCATTTTCATTACATTTTTGCAACGCCCTTATTGACGATTAGTGTGTTCTAACACTTTTCAGGCTTGGATCCTCCATCACTTCCCACACATCTTTGGTTGGTCATGTGTACCAATCTATACTGAGGATATGTTGTGTGCTTCTGCATTTGCCCCGCTCAAAGAATTAGGTGATAAAGTCGTTTTAAGTGTATTTTGACTGCTTGGTAGTAGAGGATATGCACTTTCACATCTATGTCGGTCACCGTGAGACGCGGCCATTTCACAACATAATGCTATACTCGAGAAGGTTGGCTTCCAGTTCACGTCTGACATTTCTTTATCTGCCTGAACGCGTCATGCAGCGCCGCTACACCCAGACTATTCAACACCTTATTGTCTCTGTTCATGCTACAATGACACGTAGAAATATGGAAATCATAATTGAAAATATAACTCTCGACTCTTTTAAGCTTGGACCTGACTTTTACGTTCCAGATCAATTAATATTTTCAACTTAAGACAATAAGAGTCTAAAAATACATCTCCAAAATCTAAAGAATATTTTAAATTTTACATTTTCCATATGATATATTTTCATCCCATAAAGTGGATAAGAAATTTCATTTTTCTTTTACAAACTATTCTTGTTTGAGCTATATATAGGTAAGCACTAAGCCCGGGTCCTGTGTAAAGGAGATCTTCAACAATATAATTTCAGTTTCTGTTTTTCTTTTCTTATGGAAAGTATCCACTGTTTAAAATCAACAGTCGACACCTAGGTCACTATTAGCAAATATGTTAATCAAATACATGCTATTGCACCTACTAGAAAAAGACAATCCAGTGTAATAATGGAAGCATGCTTCAATATTTCTAGCGCATACGTTTCATTATAAAGTTGTAAATTCTACGACATATAACTTAACTTGTGAGGTTATAAATACTAGACAATTTGACAAGGTTACAAACAAAACAGATGAGTGATGCAATTCCAGATACAGAATCACAATGGGAACATAGATGATACTTTCTCTACACAGAAAGGACTGAAAATAGACAGCTAAAATGGTGCAGCGTATTTGCATCCAACAGATGTGCACATATAGAATAAAATTCTTAGCTTGATGTCCAAACATAGATCTGGCCTCCGCTTGTAGCTCCTGCTAGCATTCCAACCTTGAAAGAGTGTGCATCGAATCTACATGGAATTGCAGAAATGTGTGGGCTCTCTAGAGTCTTTACTGTTGCCTTTTGAACTGTTGAGACAATGTCAACTCCTCTATTCATGTTCCCAACGAAGAGATGTGAATTGTCCCAGCCCCATATTGCTCTGCTACCACAAAATCAAGATAATAACCCCAATTAGAATCAAATAGTGAAGAATTAAATCATAATTGAAATGTAAAAGTCAGGTCCAAGCTCAAAAGAGACAAGAGTTAAGTCCCACAATTTTGATATGAAAAATGTTTTGAATGGGGACTAGCTCAGCAAATGGCAAAAGAAATACATGACTTAACATTCAATAACTCCTAAAATTGCACCTGAAAGTCGAAAGCCATCTTCCAGTCTGATTGAAATGATAAACAGAAGTCTCTTCCTCCAAGTTCACTCCACTGTATATACGAACTGTGTCGTCCATGCTACATCAAGAGATAGCATAAACCCAATCCAATCAAATTCAAAATTTAGCACAAGCTCGGATCAAGATCAAAATAATTAAGAATAGAAAAAGAAAACATATTTTGGAATCAAGTTAACATGCTGACTAAAAGTACTGAGTGACAAAAAGTAATAGAACATGCTAGTAAGTAAGCACACTCACACTGTACCTTACTTTAAGTATTAAAACATAGTACTATTAAGAACGGAATAAAGGTTTCATACCTTGTAGTGGCAAGGCTGCATCCAGAAGGAGAAAAATACGCTGATTGAACAGATCTTTTGTGAGCAAATGTCCTCAAGGCTGTGTGCTTAGGCCCTCCAATACATCTCAAATCCCAAGTACATGCAGTTCCATCAGAGGAACTGGTAGCTACAATATGAGAATTTTGAGGGTTGAAATCAATTGTATTAATTCTAGTTCCATGTAAATCCCAGTAGGATGAACATTTCCCTATCCTGTTATCAAAAACTGCCAGACCCCCTTTACCCTCAGAGAAATATAAACAGTTTGCATCATTCTTTGGTTGTGATAGAGCATATATACATGCATTATCACTACTATTGTAAACCATATCAAAAATTTCCTTCTCAGCATCCATCAATCGAATAAACCCATCATAACAACTTGTGTATATCTGCACACAAATCAATGATCACAACATCAGCCTATACTTATAAGTTATGATAACCAACTTCTAACTAATCCTATATATAGCTCATCTTCCTCTTGTAAAACTTGAGCTTAGAATCAAAATCAATGAGAATGAATAAAAACTCAAATCAACTAAAAGTATGCTTTTCTGGTCTAAATTAAGGAAACTATAAATCATCCTAAAAAAGAATTCATTCAAACTTATACAAAATATATCAAAACATAGCCTCAGTTTTTCAAAACTCTTCATCAAAGATATTCTAAAGAGAAATAACCAACTGATTCAGAATTCAAAACTCAATTCACACACCTTAGACAAGCAGTGTTGTTGAAACAAAATCCCAGAAATGGGAGCCTCGTGCGGATGGTACAAAAAAATCTCACTTCCTCCAACATTCCAAAACCCAATATCCCCAAATTTGTTACCCGCTGCAATCATATTAACATCCTTGGAAGGGAAAAACCGTACTTGAGTTATCCTTCCAGGAAGGACACGTGCTATATTTTCAGGATCCAAAGACAAAGATCCCAACTCAAAAGAACACTCAGTTTTCTTCTTTTTTACAGGCCCGTTGAGTTCTTCTGAAAATTCCTTATTGGAAATACTAACAAGAGATTCAATGAAAGAACAATCGGAATCATCGATGCCTTTATAAGCATCCTTCATGGAAATAGGACCCAAAGTTCGAACAACTTCCTCAACTTTATTGGGGGAATTGTGAGTGGAAGTGTTGGAATCTGAATTAGCATCTAAATCTAACCCTTTGGAGTCGGGTGGAATGCCTCTTGTTCGAAGTGAGCGTCTGATAACAATCGGGGTTTCAATTTTAGGTTTTTTCTCCGATTTTACAGAGTAAGATTTGGTAACGATCCTGAAAATTGCAAATGTGAATATCAATTACTAACAGAAATGAGCATTAGTTCAATTAAATGCAGAAAATGAATCTTGAAGTATGAAATAAAAAAGATAGAAAGAAAGAAGAAAAATACTTGGAATGGTTGGAGAGTGCGGTGGCTTTGGATTGAACTTTGAGTGCAGCCATCATTTCATTGTTGCGACGAATATTTTCGAGTCGCATGCGTTCGTACTCGTTGAGTTTCTGAGGCGCCATTGAATCGAAGAGAAGGAAGATGAAGTTAGGGTTTTGATTTTAGAATACCAGTAGGGAGGGAAATGATTTTGCGCTATTAATTTACAAATTTATATATTTATTTTTCACAGGAAGCTTGCGCGGGAATTATAAGTCCCTTTGGCGGTAAACAGAGTGATTAATTGGTAAAGAAAGTCACCTAGATTCATAACATAACACAAACATGGTGTCCTACAAATTAGGTTTTGTCTTGCCACCGTAGATGTAAACTCGCACCCCAATTTTCAATAATATCTAAAATATTTCTGTCAATATTTTTTGGTTTAAAATAACACACAAAATTTGGTTGTCTAAATTAAAAACACCGTATGAATGAAAAAAATCTGATAGATTAGTATAAGAGTTTGTTATGTATCCACACGGGTCTCTCATAGACCGTGTGTGTTATCTATGTTACATTATAAATATTATCATCTATGTTTATCAAACCCATAAAATTATTTGTAAGTATTGTACTATCTAGACGTTATTGGTCAACCACACCGTGTTAAGACATTGGAGGTGGTGACACGTCATCGGAAGGTCCCCTAGCATGAGAAGGTTTAGCATCGTTTGCATGTTGAACAAGTGGGATGATGTGTGTGTGATAAAATAAGGTAGCACTTTAAATAATAATTGTAACACCCAAAAATTTTGGAATATTTATTTAATTTTAAATATAAATATTCGTATTTTTTATGATTTTCAGTGGTCGGTGTGAATATTGAAAATTATGGCTTTTGAGTTATTTACTTAAATAATAGTATATAATATAAATATATTGATATTATTATTAATTTAAATAAATATAAGTGAATTAAGACAAAGTGAACATTTGAGGAGGAGTTAGTGAGGGTGAAGTTGGAAAGCCCAATTTTAAAGGCCCAAAGTTAGGTTTAACAAAAAAGAAATTTTGATGGAATTAAGATTCATTCTTGTTAGACCGTGAAAAGGGAAGAAATAGAGGTCAGAGCTCTGAGGAAGAGGATTGAGGCAAAAGTTTTGCAAGGTTTCCAAGAATCAAGAAGAAAGGCTTAGAGTTGGCAATTAAGGTATGAGGAGTATTGTCTTCGTTGTTTTCAATATGTGATTTAATGTGTTTAAAGCTGATTTAAGGGTTTAGGGATTTTTGAGTATTGAATTGATGTTGCCTTTCTGATGGTGAGTTCAATGAGTTGAGGGATTTGAACTAATGGTTTAATAGGTTTAAGGCTGATTTGAGATAAGGGAAATTAGGTCTTTGTGGCCAAAATCTGTTGTTGAGGTTTTAACTGTATAGGATAATTGATTGTGAGAACTTTAATGACACTGGGGTATTTGTAAGAAATTATGGAAATTGGAGGCGTAAATAGGATACGGGATTGGTCTAATAAGTCGTAGATTTTGTGTCTTTATCGCCGTAATATCTTAGGAATTATTTAGGGATGTTTTTTGGGCATTGGAGAAGAAAATCGTAGAGCTTTTTGGGTTGGTTTTGGTGCTGGTGTGTAACAGCAATTTGTTGTAATCGTGAGTTCCGACAACGAAGAATGCTTCGCAAGGCGAACATTCACCCTAAACTCGCACTCCGAACTTGCTAGCAAAACTCTTGATGTTTTGATGCTGTGATTTTTCTGATGAATTACCGTGAGTATAATTGTAAATTTTATGAGAATAATACATGATTGTATAATGAATTCCCATGAGTAATTGTGATGATTTATGATGTTGATTCCATGAGTTTTTGATGATTAAATGATGACATGGTTATTATGATGATTTTGATGAATGATGATGCACCTGATGAGTTTATTATGAGGATGATATTGACGTGTGCATCATGCATTCATATGCATTTCGGACTTCGGTCTAGGACCTTGATTCTTGTGGCTTGTGTAACACCCTAAATTTTAATTGGAATATTTAATTTAATTTGTTTAAATAAGAATATTCGCATTTCGGTGATTTTTGGGGGGTTTTGTGGAGTTATTGAGAATTATGCATTTTTGGGTTATTTATTTAATTAATAGTATATAATATGAAAATATTAGTATTATTATTTATTAAAATAAATATAAGTGAAATAAGGGCAAATTGGACAATGGAGAGGAGTTAGTGAGGGTAATATGGGAAAAGCCCAATTGTGAGGCCTAAGATTAGGTTTAACAAAAAGGAAATTGTGGAATTAGGATTCATTTGTTAGACCATGAAAAGAATTGAGGTTATAGCTCTAAGGAGGAAGATTGGAGGCAAAAACTTCGAAAGTTTCCCTCATGATTTTCCATGTGTAACTTTCAATGTATTTAAGGTCGATTTAATATTTAAGGATTTTGAGGGTGGCTAACTGTGGAATTCATTGGGGTAAAAAGAAAATTAGGCCTCTGTGACCAAACTCTGATTTGTTATTTGTCTAACCCTGAAAGGATAGGAATATTAAATAGTGAATAATTCTAATGCCTATGGGGTAATTGTAGGGAAATTTGTGATAGGGATGTTTTGGGGCATTGAGAAAGTGAGTCGTGCGAACATTTGGATGAATTTAGGTTTTGGTGCGTAGTAGAATTTGCTGTCATCGCACTCTTCGCCTAGCGAAGAATGCTTCGCATAGCAAACAATGTTGTTCCCAGACTCGCCTTGCGAAGAATCCTTCGCACAACGAGGAAACTCGCCCCAGACTCGCCTAGCGAACGTACACTGTTCACATGACATTGTTCACGGCACGACACGATACTGTTCATCATATTTGTGAATAGTATAGTGTAAGTGTGGGTGTAGAAATAGCAATACTGTAGTTAAAATTCTACATTGTTTTTTGTACAAATAATTTTAGTTTTTATATAGCTTTAAAAAAATTTAAGTTTTGAGCATGTGTGGAGAAGATCTGGATCTAAATAATTGTTTTAAATTTTGAATTAAATAATTTTAAAATATATTTATAAATAAAATAATAATTAAATATATTAATTAAATTTATTAATTAAAAAATATTAAATAATAAATAATCTTAATCAATATTGTCAAATCATTGTAAAAAAAAATTTTCATTAATCACGTCAACAGAATTAAAAAGAATTGGATCAAGGAAGTAAAAATTATAAAAATAAAAATAAAAAAGCATTTAAGCTTTCTAACTATGTAAGACTTAAGAAATTTTTTTCAAATTTATCCCCCCCCGTATAAGAATATTAACATGTTGCAACATAAACCATTAAAAATCTTCACACCAAAAACATGTTATCGGACCAAATAACTTCATTAATAATTAGTAATAACATAGTGAGAGTAACTCATGCACTTTTGTAGGTAAAAATTGCCTGAGGGCAACAGATTGCTTTCTATTTTTGAGTAAACAATGAAATCTCTAATCGATTAAATAATAAAAAACATGAAGCTTATGAACAAGAAAATAAACCTTGATCAAAATGAAAGGCTATAATCCTGTAAGTGCAGATAAACTTGCATTTTGTTGCTCAGTTCCAAAATTGTGATACGGATTTTACGCTAGTTAATGCGATAGGTTTACACAATACTTGCAGTATAAAAAGATTGATATTGCAATATTTAGAAGGGTTCTTAAGATTCTATGTTTGTTGGAATCATGGCGGGATTTTCAAGAAACACAATGCCAATCAAAAGATTGAATTTACAACTTCATACAAGTTGTGTCCAAAAAGCATGGGGACTTGACAATTTATGTTGCAATACCTCAATTCCAAACGAGCACAAAAAAGTCCTAGCACGATGTCCAAACATAGACCTGGCCTCCGCCCGTACCCGCTGCTAGCATCCCAACTTCGTAAGGGTGTGTATCAAATTTCTCTGGAGTTGCAGATAAGAGTGGGCTCTCTAGAGTCATCACAGTTGCCTTTTGAGCTGCCGAGACAACGGCAACTCCTCTTTTTGTACTCCCAGTGAAGAGGAATGAGTCGCCCCAACCCCATATTGTCCTGCCACCATGAAATCAAGATGACAAATGTGAACTGTTTTTGTTCGGAATCAAATAAATTCCTTTTTAACTAATGAAAACTCGAAACGGTGGGACAAGATCAGCAGATGGCAAGAGAAAGGCATAAAGCCGCACCTGAAAATAGAAGTCCTTCGGCTTCTTTCATGATTAACAAAAGCTGCGTCTTTCAAGTTAACTCCACTGTATATGACAACCGTGTTGTCCGTGCTACATCAAGAGATTATATCAACTCAGTTTAATCAAATTCACAATTAGGTAAATAAAATCAAGGATTAGAATCATCAAAAGATTATAATCAAGGATTGAAAAAAAAATACATATTTAACGAATCAAGTTTCTATGCAGAACTGAATATAAACCACACAAATTAGCTTACTCATTGCACTAGTAACACATTAAGAATCGAAAGTGTTTTATACCTTGTGATCGCGAGAGTGCATCCAGAAGGAGAGAAGTAGGCAGATTGCAAGCCCCTTTCATGGGTAAACCTCCTTAAAGCTGGGAGGTTACTACCCTTATCCAAACCACCAATACATCTAAAATCCCAGGTACATGCAGTTCCATCAGATGAACTAGTAACTGCAATGTGAGGGTTTTCAGGGTTGAAATCTATTGTATTAATCCTCATTTGATGCAAAGCTAAGCCGGATGAAGAGGAACATTTTCCTATCCTCTTATCCCAAACAGTCAAACATCCAGAACCTTCAGCTAAATATAAACAGTTTGCATCATTCTTTGGTTGTGAGAGAGCATATATAGACGCATTATCGCTACTTTTATATACTATATCAAAAACTTCCTTCTCAGCATCCATCATCCTAACAAATCCATCTTTACCACTTGTGTATACCTGCATATTAAAATCAATAATCACTGCATCAGAAAATTCTACTATTTCGCAAACTCATTACAACGGAAAGTGAGAATTCACACACCTTTGACAAGCAATGTGATTGAACCACAATCCCCAAAACGAGAGTTTGATGTGGACGATACGAAAAAACCTCACTTTGTCCAACATTCCAGAACCCAACAT